ACAGCCTTATGGGTAATGTACACTATGATGCGAATGTAGAATACACATCTGCACACACACATATATATATACACACACTTTAGGCTTCACACTTATGTTCTAAGGTGCAGCATAATTTTACAAAGTAATTGTTTCTAAAGGGACTTTGCACATAATAATGGTATGATGTATAACTATTTGTTTTGAAAGTCCCTTTAACAAGATCCAAAATAAAGTTTAGAAGATAGTTCTTTTCTGGAGCAGAGTGGCTCGGCGCTCTCCCGCGGGAGAACACCCATGATGAATAACAAAACAGGATGATGCAATTTTGTTCTTGCAACTCTGGGAGAGCAGATCAAAACTCTCTTTTTATGCAGAGTATGCACAGGCCAAGAAAGTAGCTGCAGATTAGGGTTCACCTGGTTGAACCACTGGTAACTTAAATGCAAATCCAATGTTTTTGAATATTTTGTTGAAAACAAAATTGCTCACCCACTTTTTATAACATGTCTTTGGAGATAACCAAAGTCTTCTGCCTTTGGTTATGTGCTCAATCCAAGTACGCTCAATCCAGAATTAGCAGTTTTTCTCTCCAGTGCGCTTCGTAATAAGTGCCACCTTCCAGTGAAAATCCAGTCTTCATTTCATAACTCTTGTTTTCATGGTCCACTTACTCTGGTTAGTGAAAATTGTAAAAAATAAGGTAGTTTCTTTAAAAACCTTCTTGGCAGCTTTAGTCAGTGTTAGATCAAGACCATTAAAGCACAATGAAAGATGATAAAAAAAGAACTGATGATCATTTACTGTGTATTTGTGGGTAAATGAGAAGTTAGTAGATAAAACTAACCTTATGATCCAATTAATAAAACACTTGGAGGTTCTACGGCGCAGCTTTGAATATGATTTGTGTTCATTTTAAAAATGGATGACCTCCAGGATATCATATACGTGACCACTGGAAGTCTCCATCTTTAATTTTATCTTCTCCTTCTCCTTTGTTTTCTGTCTCTAATCAGTCTACATGTTTTATGTGTGCACTGATGTCGTCTTGCACTCATCTGTGTACCTGACAGCACAAAGCTCTCTTTCATCTGCGCTTCCTCCAATGCATCCTTCCTTTGTCATTTTGTACTTCCCCTTTTCTTACTCTGATCTCTCTTTGTTCACCTTTCTTTGTGGTCCACGCAAACATTTTATTTTGTATTGTCACCCACTTGCTGCTTTTGCCCCTGCAGGTCACAAGTGTGTGTTGAGGTTTCAGAGGTTGCAATTTTCTTAAGATAAACACCCTGTTGGGAGGATTATCTGTGTTGTCCTAACAATGTAAACCCAGGATTAGAGCTTGCTCTCCAGGGATACGTAAGCATGGCTGAATATGTGTATCTGTTTATTTATGGCGAAGTCATATGTCAACCTATCAATTTGGGTCAGATCCTATTAATTCACCGCACGGATTTCCTTATTTGTACTCCAAAGTTCTCCTTTAACCATGGTCTAAACCTCGTTAGCTGACTCCACTGTCTCAGTTCAATATATCTGAACACCGCATTACACAAAGACTAGCAGTTCATTATCTATTCTAGAGCTGTCAAAAATGTATTTGTACCTCTTGAACATTTCAGATTCATCACATTACAGTGTAAAAACAATGATTTTTTTTTTTACTTTGATAAAAACATTGGGATACATAAACATATCCATATATTGATGAATAAAATACATCAGTGTATCTCATTGGGATTTCATCAGGTAGAACAAAATCCATTTGGTTAGTTTTCTGGTTTCTGGAGTTCAGAAATAACATCTGTCCACCTGAAAGTTTCTCCAAACATGGCTGTGTGTCTGCAGTGCTGTTGGAGTTATTATGGGTCTCTTAGCTATTGCTGCAGTTCATGCTCTCTTTCGTATCCATAGTATTCCCATTTGTAGATGATGTGTTGACCAGTCCTCATGCTTGAAGCTTGTGATATTATTTTAAAATCTAATCCTGCTTCAAACTTCTCCACAGCTAAGTCGCTAATCTGTCTGTGTTCCTTGAGTCTTGATGATGCTGCTTGCTCACTAATACGCTCTAACAAAGCTCTAATGGCTTTACATAACACCAGAAAGGTTCTTTTCACTTGTTATTCGGTAACTTGTTATTGCCATTAGTTGGAGTAGCTGGACAGATAAATGGGGGCTGAAGAATATGCAATAAACACTTTTGGAATTGTTGTGTCAAAGAGAATGTATCATTTTTATTCTACTTGATAACCAAGTTGTATTTTCTGTAAGTTTATAACAGAGAATCCCTCTACAGGAATGTGACTGTTTGTGGGTATAACTACTGCTGGAAGGAAGCTTAAGCGTAAACCCTGAACTTTAGGAAGAGTTAATAAATCTGTAAAGCTCCAGCAAATGCTTAGCCAAACTGCAGGTAGGGTTGTAGGTGAAAAACCTTTAAATAAATGAAAGCAGGGAGGGGGGTAAATAGATGCTTCAGACGGCAAAGTGAGGACTTGAGGAGGTCAAGGGTCATCCCCCCCCAATGATACCTCCTGTGCCAGAGAGGTAGTCACGACCCGGTCAGCGGAGGTTCAGGTGTCAGTGAGAGACGACTGACTGACAAGCCAAAGCGGGAAGCCTCCTGTGTTCCAGCCCGATTGGACCTTTCATCCTTCCTTCCCTCGCTCTCCCTGTCACTCCTCCATGACCCAAACCCTCCCTCGCTTCAGCTGCAGCCCTCTTCACTCTCTTTCGCTAACTCTCTTCTGCAGCCCTGTCATCCCCTCATCCTTCCCCCTATCCTTTCTCCAGTCACCCTCTTTTTCACCCCAAAATCTAAACATTACCACAGGGTTTCACTCAGCAGGCCGGGCTGACCAGGAGAGCTCTCTGTGGGAGTGCATTAGGCTTCACTTCACCGTCATACACTCACGGAAAAGCACACATGTAGAAACTGCTAATGCAGGAGCACAGGTTGTGGCCAGACGAAAATCCAGCTAACCTTTCATAATGCTTGAACATAAAAATAAAAATGTAAAGTAATGGTTTGTTTTCAACTCAAACTACTTCTTTATAATTAACTGTCTATTAATTACTAAGAATTTCATGGTTTAGTGATTTAGTGATTTAGTAATGTGATAAACGGCTTCCCCTTTACACATTTCTTCTGTTTTTAGATTTGGTTGATTATATCATGTTAGAGAAATAGTTGTTTGATTGTTTTAAATTGAGATTGGTTGCGGTTACTGCTAGTCGCAATTCCTCTGGCTACGTTGGAAAGATGTGACATCGCAGTAAAATTGCTGAAATGTAAAAAATACTAAGTGATGGGAAGCTAATAGCATTTTTTACATGTGCATTAAATATTTTAATTATTTATTTTTGCGTATTATATACTTTTTCAATTAAATTACAGTTTAAAATGATCGTGTCACATGTTATCATGAGCAAAATAAAAGGAGTAGGAGGAAGGAAAAAAACAACCTTAAAGCGTCAATTATTGACGCTTTAAAGGGAATATAATTTTCTTGAATTTAACCAAGAACAGCCAAATAAGAAAATAATTCTCACATCATTAACTTGAAAGCTTTAACTCGATAAAGGAATATTTAAGGTTAAAACAATTTCAACATTAAAAAAAACACAACACATCAGCAAATCTATGTCTCCAAGTCAACATGCTTTATCCATAGCAAAAATGAAATGTCATAAGACTCTGCAGCCAGGAGTTATTGGCTCTCTCTGAACAGGGTGCTGACCAGAGCTGATAGATAATTCACAGCTGACCACAGATCTCAGTAATGGTGTCACCTTATCAACCTCTGCAGATGGATGGGCAAAATGTGACTATTATTCTTTTACATGGACAACATGATTAACACAGCCTGTTTCACAGTGAAAACTGAATAATATTTGAAAGTTTCTTTGGGGTGGGGGGAACAGTTGAAATGTGCATACTTCTCAATGCTAATGCTAATGCATTAGCAATAGTCCACTGAAAAGGAGTTGCTGAAAGAAAAGCAAAAACAATGCACGCTCCAAACAAAAGTCCGAAGCTTTTGGCTCAGTTCAGCACAGTTAGCCAGATTCAAAATGGGACGCTTTTTTATACTTGTTTAAAGGAATAATGCACTACCAAGTAAACAAACTCTTTCAGTAAAAAATATAGATGTATTCAAGTTCCCAGGTGCTCACACCCCATCTCGTTCAGTTTGTATGGCTAAAGACTCGCAGTAATGTCATTGGTGTGGATCTATGTAATTCATCTCTTCAACAATTCTTATGCATAGATTCCCATTGGGTCACAAGATGTCTCTGTTCAATGGAAGTGCATTTCATTCTCCCAAGAAAAAAGAAAGAGGCACCTTATCTCGTAATTATGAGATCTGGATTTTTTTTTCTTTCTTCTATGCAATAAAGAAAACATTTGTATCTCCTGAGAACTGTCAACTTGGTGATGTTAGCCCCCATTACAGCACTTCTATAAAAGGATGTAACAGTTCAGCACTTCTGTTTTAAGTTGTTTTTAACTCTCAGACAAACCAAGCTTTGACTGCCAACCATTCTGCATGCGAGGTTAGACTTTCCCTGTAGAAAGTAGCCCTGGCCCGATGCTGCTGTGATTGGTTTCTGAACTGAAACTGATTGCATTGCATGAAAATAGGATCAAACTGGGATGAATGGTATGCATTTGAATTTGAATCTGTCTTTATGATTGCATTGTGTTGGACTGATATGATATATCTCTAGATATCTTGTAAAGTGCCTTAAAAGATGACATTTGTGGTCTATTTGCACCAGACAGATTGCTAGAACCATCCATCTAGTAAAATTATTTAAAAAAAAATAGTTTTTTTAATTTATTTATTATATGGCTTCTTTTTACTTTTCCTTGAGTAGAATCTCTGTTCCTGACACAACATGTTGACCATGTGCATTTTCCACTTTCTGCTGTGCCACATTAAGTGTTGCCTTTCCTAACTTTCTCTCTTCACCTCATAAGGGAAAAGATGTTTATATTCATAACCGTTTTCCAGTTTGCAAAACGGAGCCCACCTCGAAGGCATATAGACGAGCTTCTCATCACTCCTAATGTCTCATCACCGTGTTGACTGGCGTGCCTGAGGACAGAAGACAGCGTGACATAGACACTGGCGGGTATGCATACGCAGACATACACTCTGACAGGTGCAGGCTGCCAGTCGGCTCTTCTTTGTTGCTTTTCATTAACTTGTCTAATAGAATCAAAGACTGTCAGCAGAAGAGAATGACAGAAAAAGAAGGGAAGATTGGAGATGGAAGAGTGAAAAATTGCTTACTTCTGTTTTTTTCTTCTTTTTTTACAGTATATGACTGTTTCAGCTGTCTAAATTAAACTCCTTTCTTTCCCTTTCCATATCATGTTGCATCTGTTATTTATATCCTAGATATCCTCAGGCTTTACAGGCATGCACATGTCTGCAAAAAACATCAAGAGATAGAAAGTAAAAGGTATAGCAATAAAGGTACAAGTGTTTTGGGTGGCATACACCTCCCACACTGTCAGCTCATCATCAGAAAGCACTCTACATGAAAAAGCCATCAGGACTTTCAGTGAAATAAAATGTAAAACAGAACGCTTTTATCTCTCCATAAAAACACCTGTTTTATTTCTTGACTATCCAGAGATGTGTCACTCTAGTAAAGGTTAAAGGGAAGATATTCTAATCAGGGACTCTTTGCACAACAGCAGCTCAATAAGGTCAACTGGTGTCACAACACTCAGCTCAGAGGGAGGAATGTGTGTAAATGCAAGAGCGTGGAGGGTTACTTTTTAGTCATCCTCTTGTTTATTTTTCTGTTGCCATAGCGGCCAATCCGAACGGCATCGCCTTTAAGTCCTTACCTGCTTTTCCTTCCTGCAAGGTCTTATAATGAAATCACCATCGCTGTGTCATGAGGTCGCATACGCATAAGCACGCATGTTAAGACACGCAGACTTAACTCTGAGTTGCATGTAAAGCTCCGGTGCCTGACGGGGCGATCCGCCAGCCAATTGGCTGTATTGATTATTGGGTCAGAGGAGGCTGGTGGAGCGGCAGCAGTAATTAGGGCTTTTTGGTGTGGATTAGCCGAGAGAAAAGGTCACCCACTCAACAACGGTGGCAGGACCACAGGCAGGGAAGAGGAGGGGTGGACAAGACGATGGGCGCTGTCCCCAAACATGATGACAACAACTTGTGATTGATAGGGAAGGAACAGTTTACATGTATATTTTGCCTTGCTAAAGAACTGACACTTGTGTATTTCTCAAACTTTTTTTTTAAATTTTGGTAACGTCACATATGTGATAACAATGTAAAATGTAGTGGCACTATTATTATTATTATTATTATTATTATTATTATTATTATTATTATTATTATTATTATTATTATTATTATTGTTAGAGAGACATAACCATGTACTGAAGCAGGCAATGTTAACATCTTCCAGTTTTGATTCACAGTTCCCAGATACAAAGACACTAAAAATAAATGATGAAATTAATAAACAGAACCTGTATGAGATTCTTTAAAGTAAAATGCTTAACGTGATCTAAGGTGAGGCTGCACAGTGGAAAAGTTGGTACCACTGTTGCATTGCAGCAAGAAAAAAGCCCGGGGGTCTTTCTGCACGCTTTTCTGCACTCACACATGCACGCTGTGCGTGTGTGAGTTCTCTTTTCATAAGCCAGCTTCCTTCGATAATCTAAACACGACTTTTAAATAGTCTCTCTAAAGTGCCCTTGGGTGTGAGTATGTCTGCATGGTTGTTTGATTGATTGATTTATCGATTTATATAGCGTTTAACAGCAACCAACTAAGGTGACAGAAGCACTTTACAGTGAAAATCACAGTACAAATCACATCACAAGGAGAGAACAATAGAATCCAAAGTGGAGTGGAGGTAGACAGTGGGCGCCGATTTGCCTCTTGCCACTTGTGTGTTTCTGGACTGGAAACTTGAGGTAGAGGGCAATCCAGGAACTCAAAACCACATCATAAAGTGTTTAACCTTTTTTGAATTTTTCTTTAAATTTGCGATTTTGACTAAAAATGAAAAGAAACAAAATGTTGTTTCCCTTGGAGTGGCTATGTTGTGATTGTACGTTTCCCATTTTATTTTCCACACTCTACATAGAGACTCTAGCCAGATTTACTGTAAAATCAAGCACAAGTTACACATTCCTCTCCGATTGACCATGTCCTGGTCAGTTCTTTTACTATCTCCAGAATTGTTGCAGTGGTGTTTGCTCCATGCCTAATTTCATTTAAAGAATTATAAAATATGTTTTCAAGGCATTGTTTAGTACATATAGAAATCAGATAAATGAGACAATAAGTCAGCCCTGCAATGAGTTAGCTGGCCAATCAAAGGAAGAGAAAAGTGTTGTTTTCACAAAGAGCACAACTCACTCAATTTCCATAGCTCAGAGTGATTTTGTTTTAGCAGAAATGATATTTTTTAAAAGGGTAAAACATATCATGAACTTGCATTTTGAGATCTTTATTGGTTTCTGAGATGTCTTATCTGTTTCTTACCTTTGCCTCTTTTGTCTTCAGACCCTCAATTTGACCTCCCAGCGGTATGGCAGGTCTGAGTGTATCTTCAGAGGTCATGACCCTTCCACACCATGAGCAGGACAAACAGGACCGAGGAGCTTCAACAACACATGGAATGTTCCCTTTGTTTTGTTTCTGCTACACTAAACCTGCAAAAGAAATCAAGAAAATCCCTCTACTACTTTAATAAAAATATATTTATATTTATATATATATATATGTGTGTGTGTGTGTGTGTGTGTGTGTGTGTGGGTGCGTGGGTTAGAATTTAGAATTTTTGTGTTGTAAGAAATGGTGAAATCTCAACAACATGTTTTCTTTAAACTCAGTATGAACTGCTGTTTCACTCTCCAGTTGCTGCTTCACAAAGTGCTGGAAATGTGATTTATTTTTAAGGTCTCGCTTGAACATATATTTGTTTTGTCATCTGCAATCAATTTGTCTGCATTATCTGTCCTTCCCTCACAATATATTATCACCCCGCAACTGGTTCAATGTGGAACCGATTGTTTCTGTAAAGCACAAACATAATAAAGTGTATGATTAAGAGGCTGTCTGCTTGTGAGCGTTTATTTGGTGTCATCTCCCCTTCCTCCTCTGCTGCTCATGGCTCACAGAGAGAGAGCAGCAGTGCTGGAGGAATTGGGAGTACTGGTTTTTTGTGCAAAGCTGCAGCACTCCTAGTGGTAGAAACACACTAGGAGTGCTGCTCTCAGAAGAGATGCCTCATTTCGGCAAGGGCAGCACAACTGCAGCACTAAAAAGCTTTCAAATAAATCCATCTTCATTGGAGCAGCATAACCTTTACATTTAATTTTTAAAAAAATTTGCTGGTGGACAAAATATTAAACAATTACTGATTATGTTCTTTTTAACTAAATCAGCAGTGAAGCACATTTTGGAAGTCCTACAACACTTATCCATTGACTTTATAATTTTACAAGGTTGGGAAATTCAAACAAGAGCAACATTTCTGTAGGATTTAGGTTTGTGGAGAGTGGCGTTGAATCATACCGATGTCTGTTTTGATTTGGTTATTTGTTGTGAGTCAGTTGAAAGTCCCAACAATGACAACTTTTCCAAATTTTGGGACATGCCATCATATTCTTTTGGAAAATATATTAGTACTTCAAAGAGTTAATGAACCTATTAGCTTTTGAAAAAGAACAGACGGTCAGATTCACAGATCCTCCACCACGATTAACGCTGGGCATGAGATGTTTTTTTTTGTTTGTTTGTTTTCTTTTTACCTTTTGACACATGTCAAACAAACCCAGAGTGCTCTAATCTTAGTCTTATCTGAACCAAAACCATTTAAACTCCAAGCACATCTTTGGTAACCTGTGTTTAAAAAGGTTTGGTTTTTTTCCTGGCATGCCTCCCGAACACCTGGTTGGTATGGAGATAAAATTTAATGCAATTTATGGACACTCGGCGGTCCTAAAATAACACTCTTTTCCGCACTATTCTGCTCGCTACTTGTGACTTTTTATCCTTTACTGAGTAAATTTTTCAATTAAATGTTGGATTCTTGAGATTTTTTAGAGCTGGGTTGTGCTGCTGCTGTGAAGATTAATATAATTACATTTATTTATTTATTTTACATATTTACCTGGGGTTCCTCATGTGTCCAGTACACCGGGAAGACATAACCTTTTACTGAACTTCAGAAGTAGTAAATTACATAATATTTGTGTATTGACAGTGATACTTGTATGTTTATATCTCAATGATGGAGTCACGGACACTGGAGGTACACGCGATTGTCTCTTCACACAACAATGTTAGTCACTCTGTATGTGATCCTAAGGAGAAAGCTAACCGTGTTTTAACTTGCATATCCGGACCCAGGGTTTGTTCGTTTGACCCTCTTTTATGTATGAAACAAAGTGAATGATTTGTAAATGTCAGTGGAAAATGCGTGCCCACAGAGGCTCTGCAGAATTGCTGTGTGGCAATAAACAACATACATATCTGGAGGTAGGCCGGACACAGACATGTGAGGGCCAAATAAACAGTGAAATCTACGAGTCACCAAACCAGACCTCGGCTGTCTTCCATCTTTAAAATGCGCTCAAGGTGAGCAGTATTTGGCATCAATGAGATGCTTACACGCGCTTACGATAGTCATAAAAGTCTTGTTTACTTTGGGCAGGGTGGAGCGATAAAAATAAACTGCAATTATGCTTTAAAATTAGAGCGCACATGCAGGAGTGAATCTACTGTTGGCTGCTTTTTTTGGCGATCAACAAACTTCGGTCATAATTCAGGCTATTAATTTGAAGGTTTTTCTTGTTGGAATTGGTTAGGTTTATTTAAGTTGGTTGGTTTTCAAATACAGACCTAAATGTTAAGCCATAATATTTTAGTAGGGTTCAGATCAGCACCATTCCAGAAGCTTAACTTAAGTCCACTTTATCCATTCCAAAACCAGTTTGAATGTGTTCCTGGGGTCATTTTCCCCACTAGAGTTAGGACACCATGTCCTACCTTTTTGCTACCCTCTTCAAACGAAATAACTTCTTACCATTTATTAGTCTCCGACAAACATTGCCCCACTGCATATACAGCCCAATTCTAGTCATGCGGCACCGCAGTAAGATCAACTGCGCGTTAACTCATGTCTGAACTTTCAGTCAGTTGTTGGTGGGCTTACTGTGTTGCCATGTTGCAGGCTCCAGTTATGCTTTAGCTTATTTATTTATTTATTTTTATAAATGGTGTCACATTTCCACTGAATACCTGTTACATGTTGGATTATATAATGGTGAGCTGGCCAGGCTTTCCTGCAATAAAGCTTCCCCTTGCCATAACCTCCATGTTCCTGGAAAATAAGCTCCTGGAATACAGTAGCTGGTTTCTGCAAAACATGTCCTCTGTTGTAGTTTATGAAATATTCAATTTTAAACTAATCTCTCCAAAGAACATTACTCCAGGCATCGTGTTCTTTGTGTCAGTTCTCTCTCTGGCAATCTTTGGTCTGGCTTTTATATTTTGCTTAAAAAGCAAAAGTTTCCTTCCTGCACACCCTCCATGAAAGTTAAACTTCCGCAGTTTCTGTTTTTTAATTGTACAGGCATGGACTTTCATACCAACAGTATTATGTTTCAGCTATACGTCATGTGATGAAGGTTTTTAGAGAGGTTTTTTTCTTGCGGTCTGCTGGCATGGTTAGTGCTAGGGAATTTGTTTGGAAAGCCAGACCAAGACATGACGGCAGCAGTTTTGAATGTTCTCCACGATTGTATTCTGTACAGTGGGACGGCTACTTTAAATTATTTCTAAGCCTCCGTCAACCTCTTACCAGACTCAGAAAACACTCCAATTACCTTTCTGAAGGCCTCCTTCAACCGAACCGTGATGCTCAGTCTAATTTGTGACAGTCAGAATTCCAATAAACTAAATGAATGAGGTTTAATCAGGTCTAAACCCCTTCAAAATGTGGTCGAATCATGTCTGCCTGAAGTGATGAGCCTGTGTGTGATTGTCACCATTTTAACGGGAATTTATTTCTCACAATTCTTTTAATAAAGTTTGTGATACAATTTTATAGGATTTTAACAATTGCAGCAATTAACAGTACATTAAAAAAAAAATCTATTGGTGATTTGCCCAATGGTAACAGAAGACATCGGTCACAGGGATAGGTGGATATTTTTTTATATCAAAATATGACACAAACCTCCGGGAAGTTGCTTTATGTGCTAGTTTTTATTATTTTTTTTATGAAGTATTGTACCCTTTTGGTATAATTTTGAATCAATGTGGATCTTTAAAAAAATGGTTTCCTCATAAGGGGGTGGAAACAAAAGCTCAAATACATCTTCAAAACCGTCAGAAGATACCCACATCTGAATTATTTCTGGTGTACTTTTGATGCATACATGGCAAAAATTGACAATAAATCACAGTAACTGATAAATGACCAACACTGTGTCATATTTTAAAACATTTCATTTATGGTTTCCACGTTAAGGGTCGCATATTTTTTCTTCCTCATGCAGGAAGCAAACTCTGTAGCAGACCGTGACCCTTGTATATATCGTAAGCTCAAGCCATATGCAACAAATAGCATGGGAGGGGGGGATAGTCTCTCTGCAATATAGAGTTCACCACAGGGTTAAAAGTGTCACCACATACATCACAGCTGTAGCAGAACGGCACACACAGTTCCCATGGAGATCAGCCATGTTGTCCCCCTGCTGTGCGAAGCCAAAGAGAACTGGGTGGGTGCCAACATGCACGAAAAGGCAAAAAGAATTGTAAGCCCAGCCTTATGTACGTGTGTATGTAAAGTCAGCACGTTTATTTGACCAGGGGTGCACCCATTAATGGATGCATGTGTGCCTTCCTTGTTTGATCTGACTATCTGTGGTCCCAGCTGTGGTCTCATCAGGAACGCTGTGCAACAATGGCTCGGCTGGCCGCTGTGAGAGCCGCGAAGAGTGATAAAACTGGCGAGATGACGGTGTCAGAAGCTCCATTGAGCATAATCAGGCGGTGGTGGATGGGCCGCGGCTCTTGGGCTTCAGGGGCCATAAGTCTGACGATTAAACATGCATGTGGAAAATCCTTCATCTCGGGAATGAAACAAAAGCCGCCCTGCCCTTCCTACGTGTTCGAACATCGCTGTGGAAAAAGCCTGTTTCCTTGGCAACCAAACTGGTTCTCTTTGTCACAGGAATGAGGAAGGAGGAGGTGAGAAGAAATGAGGAGGAGGAGGGAGAAGAATCGGGAGGGGTGGTGGGATTAGAGACATGACACTACACTCGCTGACCTCTAGCTAACCTCTAGGTGAACATGCCCTACTGGTTTCTTGGTTTCCAACTGTGATGCGTTGTTGAATCAACAAAGATCGTTTCTATTGCCTAAAATAATAATAATAAAAAAAATGTACAGGTGCATTTTTCTTAGTAAAGTCTCACAATATAGTTTATGAAAATAAATCTTTAAGGCTCATTGGGAATCACAAACTGTGCTGGAAACCAAATAAACTAAATTAGGACAAATATGTCAAAGTCTGTTGCAACAGAACATAAAGTCAAAAATACTGTCAACATAACGTCATAATACACACTGTTTTCAATACTTATCGTTTCAATTATGACAAGCTATTTGAAACTTTGGTTCTCAAAATATTTACGGTGCCGTGAAAGCAAATTCCTCCTTTTTGTTAAAAATTTAATTTCAAGTCATCAAACATATGTTAATGTTAGAGGAAGATAATCAGAGGAAATACAATAAATTAATAGAAAAAGCTAAACTAACCAATTCTAAAAATAAATTAACCAAAAAATTTATTTTTAAAAAGGTTTTGAAAAGTAAAAGGACTGAACAGTGTCATTGGTCGCCACTATTGCCATCCTGGGTGTGAATTCTGGCCCAGAGTCTTTCTGCCAGCAGTCTGTGTATTATTCCTGTGCATGTGTGGGTTCTTCTTAGGTACTAAGGCTTCCTCCCGGACAACTGGGCTTATTTGGTTCATAGTAGTTTGCATTGTGTTTTCTCTGTGTTGCCTTGCAATGGACTTGCAGCCTGTCCAGGCTGCA